CTTTCACAACGAAACACAGCGTCACACACGGCGGCCTTGAGTGAGAAACGGCCGACAGATTCGACAAAGGAGCGTCCAGAAGGACATGTGACGACTCCGGGCTGGACTCCGCTTCGTCCACGGTGAAAGACGATCTGGTGATCCACAGCACTCAGTTGATGTATTTCCTCAGCGACCAGCACGGATCAGCTCCAGGCATGACGAAGCAGATATCGTCCTCTTTTGGAAGAACAAACAAAGTAGTTTCGCTTTCACAACGAAGCACACAGCGTCTTCACGACATGGCGGCGGCAACAATACTACAGCGAGAATAAAAGTTACGCCTTCTTTCTTTGCGTGAACATTTGGGCGGCGTTATGCAAATCTTCCCACATAGTGAGGTAGACATGTGGGGGCGTGTTAGAACGAGGCGTTTTAGGTAGGTGTGGCTGACTCTGAACTTTTATAAAGAATATGTCTTTGGATTTGAGACTTTAGTCTTTGCAACTTTACAGATATTCTTTATGCAACAAGAGCTTGTAACACTCCAAAGAGAAAGGAAACGGCCGACAGATTCGACAAAGGAGCGTCCAGAAGGACATGTGACGACTCCGGGCTGGACTCCGCTTCGTCCACGGTGAAAGACGATCTGGTGATCCACAGCACTCAGTTGATGTATTTCCTCAGCGACCAGCACGGATCAGCTCCAGGCATGACGAAGCAGATATCGTCCTCTTTTGGAAGACCAAACAAAGTAGTTTCGCTTTCACAACGAAGCACACAGCGTCTTCACGACATGGCGGCGGCAACAATACTACAGCGAGAATAAAAGTTACGCCTTCTTTCTTTGCGTGAACATTTGGGCGGCGTTATGCAAATCTTCCCACATAGTGAGGTAGACATGTGGGGGCGTGTTAGAACGAGGCGTTTTAGGTAGGTGTGGCTGACTCTGAACTTTTATAAAGAATATGTCTTTGGATTTGAGACTTTAGTCTTTGCAACTTTACAGATATTCTTTATGCAACAAGAGCTTGTAACACTCCAAAGAGAAAGGAAAAATTGAAATTGCATCATAAGACCCCTTTAAGTTACGGTTAATCAGAGCACAAACCTTTAAAGTTGATATGATTCTTCTTCAATTGCACTGCAAAAACTGATTTTCTTCCTTAGTATTTTGTCTTGTTTTCTAGTATAAATATCTACAAATTCTGGAATTAAGATGCATTTACTTGACAAGTAAAATGACCTAAGATATATTGTCTTATTTTCAAAATTTTGTTAGTATTTGCTTAAAACAAGCAAAAATATCTGCCAGAGGTGTAAGAAAAATAATGTTCTTTAGCCTTTGAATTAAGATTATTTTTCTTACACCATTGGCAGATATTTTTGCTTGTTTTACAGAAAACAAGACATTTCTTAAGTAATTTTACTCGTCAAGCAAATGCATCTTAATTCCAGAATTTGTAGATGTTTATACAAGAAAACAAGACAAAAATACTAAGGAAGAAAATCAGTTTTTGCAGTGTAGCTGGCTATCTACATAGAAACCAGCTGTAAATTGAAATGGCTCGCTGGATGACAGTTTCTGATCCAGACGGACTGTAACGAAGTGGCTGTGTGTTTCTTTTCAGCTTTTCTGAGCGGGCAGACACGCCAGAAACCCAACTAAATGCAAAAGAAAAAAGCTAAAAGAGGCTCAAATTTCATCTGACGTCCCCTTTAAATTCACAAAGTTATGGCTTCATGCACTGCAAAACAGAAATATCTCTCGCTCCACACACATCGTCTTCCGATTTTTCTGTTTGAGACAATAAATGCTCTTGTTTTTAATTCTGCATGTGATGCGGCTCACCGTCACTGATCGATAATGTAAAACTCAGACGAGTCTTCTTGCTCGTGTCCGTTTTTAACGAATGTGACATAGGCATGTGACGCTATCAAATTTTCATGTTGCGATTTAACTGCTAATGCTTTTATCACGGTATACAGTATTATCACGATATTGAAATTTAGTTGCAAAAAAGTGTTGTCATAATAAAGTATAACAGGTTTAATAACTTTTTTCTTATTACAAAAAGAACTGAACATTTAAATACAATAAAGCAATACACAAAGATTCTCACAGATTAAAGGCCAAAAGAATGATAAAGACCAATAGGTAACACTTTACAATAAGATCTCATTAGTTAACCTTAGTTAATGCATTTATTTTAACAATGAGCAATAGCTACATTTGCTACAAAAGTTATTAATCTTTGTTGAAAAATAAAACTGTTATTTCTAGTAGCCCAAGTTCATTAAATAACAGAGTGTGCTATTAAAATTAATGAATGTTTAGAAGAATTTTTCATTGGCAGTTTAACTTATGAATTAACTTATGTTAACTAATGGAGCCTTAATGTAAAGTGTGACCAGCAAAGAATCAAAACACTTTCAAACAATATCTAGAGCACGTTGTAGTCCAGATTAAAATGTGAAAAAAAAACTTTAAAAATAGCATATTAAGTCTAAATATTTAAAGAGTTCACCCAAAAATGAAGATTCTGTCATTAATTACTCACCCTCATGTCGTTCCAAACCCGTAAGACGTCCGCTCATCTTCTAGCGACTCATCTTCATTTTACGAAGCTAAGAGAATACTTTTTGTGCGCAAATAAAACAATAATAACAATTTATATAACAATTCTTCTCCCCGAGTTACTGTCTTCCGCCATTTAGGAGAGTACTCCAGAATGCAATCAACGTAATCAGCGTCATTTACGTTCGGTAGAAAGAGCGCGATTTATCCGGAACGTAAACAACGCTGAATACGTTGCTTAAAATCCTTTTCAGAAACGTAAAGTAGCAGCTGCTTTGTTTACGGGGTTTCGGGGGATAACGGCTGCATTTCTGCTGCTCCATCAGCGCCATCTGCTGTCAGAGAGTGAATGTGCTTTCATCCGCACTTGTTTACATGAGTGCACACACGTCTTTAAGCAGCATGCAGCAGTGTTGTGCATTTAACCGTCTGATGGGAAATGTATTCTTAAAATGCATTCTGAATAATAAATTAATAATTTGAGGTGCCCCCCATAACAATATCGTGCATGTTTATTATGGTGATATATCGCATGCACACATCTAGTCTGACATTGCATTATGACGTGGCTTATAGCTGAGATCATGTTCGTACAGTCTGAACACTGAACACAGCACCAGTGACTGACAGGAGTGAGTGTGTGTGTGTGTGTGTGTGCACAGGAGATCCATAAGAAGGTGATGTCGCTGCAGTTCAGCGAGTGCCACACTAAGATAAGGCGCGTGGATGCCCATGCCACGCTGGGGGACGGGGTGGTGGTGCAGGTGATGAGCGAGCTGTCCAAGAGCGGCCGGCCCATGAGGAGGTTCATGCAGACGTTTGTGCTCGCTCCAGAGGTGTGTGTGTGTGTGTGTGTGAAACGACTAGGGTTGGCTATGACAAGTCTTGGTTAGCCTAACGTGGTACACTTAGCAAGGTGTTTTCACCAGGGCTATTCTGTCAATAAGTTCTATGTGCACAATGACATCTTCTGCTATGAAGAGGAGGTGTTTGGAGACTCTGAGGCTGAGCTGGGAGGTAAAACTACAGAACACACACGTTTACACGGCAGACGTGTTATTTGGGTCTAATGCATGTACATGATTACAGCTGTGGCGGTCTGGCTTTACATGGCATTGCATCTTTACACATCATATTATGAGCTCTTACATTTGTGGATGGGAAACTGAGTCGCTGTGATACAGATATCTGATCATTAAACGTCAAAAAGCTCTGATTGAAGTAAATAAATGTGAGCGCTGCACGTTTCAGTGTTCAACAGGAATGCATTTCAGAGCCGCTCACAATCAGTGAATATCAGTGATGAACTGACAGTGTTTACGCTATGGTTATTATATTATAATTTGTTGTAGATGGATGTAAGATGCATATTTTATGTCATATATTACCTGTTTAAATGAGCAGCTGGAAGTAGTAAAGCAGAGACATTTCAAAACTCCTTTATGATTAATAGCCCCTCATTATACATAATATACTTTTATGTTTGGTTATTGTTGATATTTTGTTTTGCAAGAAAGTACTGTTTCAGTCTTTTTACTACATTTCATTTTAATACGTTTAATTCACCGTGTTGACGTTTCTTTGTAATTGTGAAATTTACTAGCAATTTCTGAGTGAAAATTGCCACCAATTTTTTTTCAGTGCATAGAAATTTCAAAATAAAACTCCCGTGTATTTCAGGATAATAATTAAAAGTCCCTCATTATGCATAAAATCTTTCTTTCCTGTCTATTGTTGGTATTTTGGTGACACAATAAACAGTCTCTTGCATTTAAATCAACATAAACTCTTGTATTTTCTCTCTGAACCGTCCCATCACAGGAAAGACTAAGAATATTATCTAACACATTCAGTTTATTGATTTTATTAGTATCAGCACAATAATCTTTAATCACACTATCATATCCGTAAACTCCAGTATTGATGGACCTCTAGTTCGTATGTATTGATATATGAGAATGTAAACCAGTTTCAGTACATGTAAATATTGAATAAACTGAGTTTAGAGTGCGTGCGCGTGTGTGAGCATGTGTGTATGTGTGCGTGCGTGCGAGTGTGTGTGTGACTGTGTGTGAGAGTGAGTGTGAGTGCGTTTGTGTGTGTGAGAGTGAGTGTGAGTGCGTTTGTGTGTGTGAGAGTGAGTGTGAGTGCGTTTGTGTGTGTGAGTGTGAGTGCGTGCGCGTGTGTGAGCGTGTGTGTATGTGTGCGAGTGTGTGTGTGACTGTGTGTGAGAGTGAGTGTGAGTGCGTTTGTGTGTGTGAGTGTGAGTGTGAGTGCGTGCGCGTGTGTGAGTGTGACTGTGTGTGAGAGTGAGTGTGAGTGCGTTTGTGTGTGTGAGAGTGAGTGTGAGTGCGTGCGCGTGTGTGAGCGTGTGTGTATGTGTGCGTGCGTGCGAGTGTGTGTGTGACTGTGTGTGAGTGTGAGTGCGTTTGTGTGTGTGAGTGTGAGAGAGTGATAGTGAGTGAGAGTGAGTGAGTGAGTGTGTGAGCGTGTGTGTGTGTTTTTGTGTGCGTGCGTGCGTGCGTGTGAGTGCGTGTGGTGCGCGTGAGTGTGTGTGAGATTGTGTGAGTGAGTGAGTGTGTGTGTGTGAGTGTGAGTGTGTGTGTATGTGTGTGTGTGTGTGTGTGTGAAAGTGTGAGTGTGTGTGTGTGTGTGAGTGTGAGAGTGTGTGAGTGTGTGAGTGTGAGAGAGTGATAGTGAGTGTGAGAGTGAGTGAGTGTGTGAGCGTGTGTGTGTTTTTGTGTGTGTGGTGTGTGTCTGTGAGTGAGTGAGTTTGTGCGTTTTTGTGACATATGAGGACACAAATTTGTATAATGACAAAGGTATGACAGGTATTACAAGGAGAAGGTGACTTATGAGGACATTATATATTTTTTTGAGAAAGTAAAAATGCAGAAAGTCTCCTGTGAGGGGTAGGTTTAGGGGTAGGGTTGGTGTAGGGCAATAGAATATACGGTCTGTACAGTATAAAAACCATTACACCTATGGAGAGTCCCCACAATTCACAAAAACAAACAATGTAGTGTAGTTTGTGTCCTAACCACCCGCGACAGCAACACGGGATTCTATTTTAGGAACAGTTTTTATTTTCTGCACGTCGCGGCAGGAACAATCGCTCGCACGCACGCACGCACGCACGCTCGCTCGCTCGCACACACACACTCACTCACTCACTCACTCACTCACACACTCACTCACTCACTCACACACACTCTCACACACACTCTCACTCACTCACACACTCACTCACTCACTCACTCACACACACACACTCTCACTCACTCACACACTCACTCACACACACACTCACTCACTCACTCACTCACACACACACACACTCTCACTCAGTCACTCACTCACTCACTCACTCACTCACTCAAAACTGTTCAGATTGTTCACATCTGAATCATCTATTTTACGTGTCCACTTTTCTTTTCTACACACTCGCCATGTTTTGCTGTCACATCGTATCTACTCTGGACGTGACAAAGCATTGCAGATCATTTGAATGTTGTGTCAGTACGTTATAAATAGAACGAATCAGCGGTTTACTGTCAGGGATTTGTTGTGTCGTGCCGCAAGACAGCGTCACTGATTATAACCAGTTCTTGTATTTTATTGCGTGGCGTCCGGTGTAGACACAATGTAAATTAATGTGGCTTTCTGATGCTATGTTTGAATTTTCATGCCATATTATTTGAAATTAGTGCGGGCCAAACTTTTTTTCTCTCACGGGCCGGATGTGGCCCGTGGGCCGCTTATTGAGGAACCCTGAAATAGAGCATAACGTGTCAGTTGCTGCATTCACATCCAGCGATGAGGGTGAGGGAATACAGGTTTCGTCTAAAAGTAACCGGTATAGGGGTTGGTGGTGCACAGGTAACACAATGTAGTTTAAATGGAATGAAGAAATGGTCAGAGATATGTAGGGGTTTTACCGAAATGTTGTCTGCAACACCGTTGCGTGTGTAAATTAAGTCAAGTTGGTTGCCTGATTTGTGCGTGCTTGTGGTGGTAAGTCGTTTGAGATCAAATGAAGCAAGGAGTGAATGGAAGTCTGTAGCATAAGGCTTGTCTAGATGAATGTTGAAGTCGCCAAAGACTAAAAGTGGACTGCCATCCTCCGGGAATGAGGACAGCAGCCCATCCAGCTCCTCTAGGAAGGTGGTTAGAGTTTGCCCAGGAGGGCGGTAAATTACCACAACCTGGAGTTTTACAGGAGCTGTTACAGTAATCGCATGAGATTCAAATGAGTTGTAATTACATAGGGGAGAGTGGGTTGAGTATTTCCAATTGTTAGAAATGAGCAGACCAGTGAAATTTGGTCTTCAAATGCTGCCATTAAACCACTTCACTTTTCTTTTTTCTTTTACCACAAAAAGATTTATATAGAGACATATGTAAGAATAAAGTTTGTTTGATGTGGACCAAATCTCAGAGTAAAGCCAGAAACAGGACACACTCTGATTACAGACCGGACAACAAATCACTAAAGCAACCAGTGAACATAATGGACAGAAATCTTTAATGCGCATTTTCACACAAATGTGAACTGTATTTACAGAGCATTAAAAACATAGTACATCAGAGTTACTGCTTTATGTGCACAAAATCAGTAGAAAAATATTCTTAAAAAATGAAAACATGGAATGTTGCATTACAGGCAGAAGCTTGTGACAGTCACGCGAAGCACTATATTACTCAAACACAAACATGTTTAACACTGAGAGAACCCCAGAAACACAGACGGCATCAACAACACAAACCATCAGAGAATATCATTGGTTGAGAGGTTTCGAAGGTCCCGCCCATTTACAGAACCAACCAATAGCAGCAGAGAGAACGCAGAGAGGAGACTAAGGTGAGCAGCAGGAGCCCTTTGAGCTGGTGTAAAACAGTGAAGCCTGTTTCACAATCGCACGCCTGCAGCACGAGCGGTGAGCCGTTTATCAGCACAAATCCTCACACGAGAGTCAAAACACGACGTCTACAGCGACAGACACACTAAATCTGCTCAGTTTACAGCTGCGCTTTGAATTCTGGGTAGATTATTGACATATCACGGAGTTCATCTGATTCCCCTCATGTAAATTGATTTTTATAACAATAAAGATTATTTATTATGGCTGTTTATAAATGCAGAAATCAGTGCACCTACAAAAATGATGATCGCTGTTTTGCTTGAAACAGTTTTTATCCACTTTTAACACACACACACACAAAACAAACAAACCACACACACACACACACAAAACAAACAAACCACACACACACACACACACACACACACACA